TATGAAAGCTTTACAATGCAAAATGAATGCAAAATGACAGTTTGCTGAATGATCTATTTTTGCTAGTTAGGTTACCATGGACGTTCAATAATTGTATTTATTTATCTTTTGCTTGTCTTGTTAAGGATGAGAGAAGAATATAGAAGTTCTAATCCAATATCCAACGAGCAATAAAAGTGCCAAGTAGAAGCAATGTAAACAGTGTGTTTTGCAGAATTTTACTCATTCAGGAAGGGAAAGTCATATGTTAAATTGTTTCCTGAACGTGTGCACTGATGTGGTCCAACTTTTCCTACTATAGTTTGAAGCCTGTCATGTTAAGAATGTTTCTGCTCCTCCTGAAGCTACTGAAGAGCTGCAAAGCTTTCTCCGTTGGTTCTCTTGGAGCACCACCTAATGGATGAGTTAGGAAAGGTCCCAAGCTTCTGACCAGCCTAAATTTCTCGTGTTCTTATCATCAGTTACCTGCTCATCATCCCTTTTGTGAAGTTGTACCCAGTGGATGCCAAATATCAGATAAATAAAACATTTGTTTAAGGGAAGCTGCCATTCCGTGTGTGACACCAGTGTGTCTTTCACATGGGCTGGCAGCTTGAACATTCTTGAAAGTCTTGGGTAGAATATAGACAAAATTTGCAGTTTTCTTCTAAGATAACTTTGACATTGTTGAAGAAAAAAAAATTGCATATTTCTTTCTTGTCACATATCTCCACAAGTATTTGAAAGATTTTCCAGTCAGCTTAATGAATGACTTGTTCTTCAGTGTGTTCATATAAGAGAACTGATAACTTCCCAAAGGATAATTCAGATAGCAAAGAAGGTTCTGAGATGTCTCTGGCTTTCAACCACTTTCTACTGCCCTGCTTTACCACTTTGTATTAATGGTAGTTGCAACTCAGTTTAATTCTCTCTATTTTTTTGTTGCTTCCATCTAAGAAGGAAGGGAGTGGAGAATAAATGAAGGCAGAATCAAAAGAAGGAAGGAAGATGTGCAGCATTGGTAGATGTTGAGTTTCCCAGAGAAAAGGCCTCGGCTAGTTCTGTAGGGCAGACTGTCCTCGTCACCCTCTGTGGTGTCTCCTCGCCTGGGGGATGTTTTCCCAGCTGAGCCCTTTCCACTTCTTGGCCAACATCTCCATCTGTTTCCATCAGCAGTTCACAGATTTTTTGCTTTTCTTGCTGTGAGAAGGAAAGTTTCTCTTTCCATTGGCAGTTTTCCTGCTGATCAGCTGAGTAATGCTCTCCACAGGCCTGCTGTCCTGCTTGGAAAGAGGTCCTTCCCAGCCAGGTCAGAGATCCCAGCCAGCTGCAGGACCTGCGAGTTCCTGGCAGTGTGGGCCCTTTGCTGGCCAAGAGTAACACCTACACCTCTTCTCCTTGTGCAGCCTGCTGGCCCCCAGCTTCCCCTCTTTGCAGTGTGACAAAAAGGGATTCTACCTTTCAGCCCTCATTACAGCGCACAGTTCATCTCTTTTCCTCTTTGTTACTTGCTTTGTCCGTTTAATGAAGGGTTGGGCTATGATGAAAGCCCACATCGCAATCCAAAAGAAAATATTATTAAGTGTTATCTGATATTTCTACAAGAGTAATTTTTGGACAACATCCTTCTAAAATATATGACATCTGCCCTGTCAACTAACAAGCTCTGCCTGGTCCCACGATCTCCTAAGCTCCTCTCTTCAGAATATCAGCATTTCTCTGTAAAGGCAAGGCAGCTAGAAAAGTGGATAAAATTCTATATAAAGGCATGCCTGGCTTAGGAAGCCTTTGATCCAAAGACCACTGGAGCCTTGGAGGTTATTTGGAGGGAAATGCTGTCTCTACTTCCCTTCCCTGGCCATACCATCGCTTGCTGTGAGGAGAGGACCACGGTGTTCGTGGTTCTTCAGTCTCAGCCAGTGCAGTTGCACAGCACAGTGAGCTTGACTCACTGATGGGTCCCTGACCATGCAATATTTGCTGTTAGCATTGTTGGAGCCTTTCTGATCTGAAAGTCTTTGGCAAATTGCAGAAAGTTGTCATTCAGATGAAAATTTGCTAGGAATCAAGTGGCTTTCTCTTTTCAGGCTGTTGCATTGCAGTGAGGAAAGACAAGGGATTAGTGACCAGATGATTTGAGTGCCCAGTGGATTTGGAGTACTCGGCAGATTGAGTTTTATCTCTTACTCTTTGAAGTCCTCTTCACTTACAGAACTTAGACTTGCTACTTACATTCATAGCACATGGACACTCAAAATAATTGACTTCCTAGTGGATGTCTTGTTTATCAACTTAAAGAGCAGTAAGGCTCAAGTTTTATGATGTTAAAGTTGTGTCATTGGCAAAAACATTGGGTCAGCTAAAACATGTTTTCTAGGACTTGAGTGTTCTCAGTTTCCCCTTTTATGTGAAAGGTTTTTTTTCTTTCTTCCTGTTGTGTTGGAGGGAAAAAACCCACAATGCTCCATATTAACCAGTTGGTCCAACTTCATTTGCTTGAAGACAAACTTTAAAATCAGTGTTTTGATAAGTAAGCATTGAGGCTCTCTTGGACTGAGCCTGTGGTTTTGCTCTTGGAATGGACTTCAGAATACAGTGAGAGAGTTGTTGACTCACGGCAGATGCCAGGCAGTGCCAGAACCACGGGAGCTGCTGCTTTGCTGTGCCAGACTGCTCTGGCCTCTGGCAGACTCGATGTTAATCAGAGCAGTGCTGAAACCTGCTCTCTTAGTTCATTCAGACACAAATATTTTGCTTTTGTGATGAACCCCACCAACAAGGGTTTGGTTTAGCGGGCAGGGAAGAGATGACAGAGGAAAGCTATAAAGCAGTGGTTATTAGGAAATAATTGACATTTTATTTTCTATGCTTGTTTGCTGATTATGCAAATTCAAGACTTCTTTGCAAATAATTGGATACCCTTAAACAATGCATATGTTGATAGGGTGTGTGTTTTCATTGTTTTCTGATCATTGTGTCTTAAATGATGCAATTTTTCATTTGGTAGAATGTACACAAGGAGGTCATTATGAAATAAAGAAGTATTAGCAAACATCAGAAAATATTAGAAAACTAGAGGTTTCTTAACTTTATTTTACAGCATTCTTTGCTTTTGAGTCTTGCAGTCAGATTTTTTATTGAGCTCCTTTAAGGAATTGATTTTTTTTTTTTGCAGTTTTAGAGAAATAAGAGTGAAAGTGAGACAGATAAGTTTTGTGTTTGTTTGCTTGTTTGTTTTTGTTTTACCACTGATGAATGTTATTAAAGACTTCAGCAACAATCAAAATCAGTTTAACGGACTAAAATTTTTCTTGAAGAGCCAGGATTTTGCCCTGTATTAGTGACTCCAAGTTTGTTTAAGTATGTTCTTATAAATATGCAAAGATTCAATAAAGGCATCACAACTGTCCCACCATTTAAAATACAGTTATTAGTCCAATTTCCAAGGGAATTATGGCTGGAAGCAGTATGATCCAGCACAGGATTATATTACAACTTTTTCATTCCACAGTGGTATCAGAATCCAAACTGTGCCTCTATTTGGTTTATAAATTTGTTTTTCTGAACATTTGCAGAATTGTAATAGCTTAGTTTTGCCAAAATCAGACCTCAGTTTGGCAGACGCTTCTTTTATCAATTCCAGTTGTTCTCCCACAACCCTTTGAGGATTTTCTTTTTCATGTAGTCAATACTCTACATATTCCATCATGCATTCAATTAGAGGACACATCAAATACATCTGTATTTAAACATGAATTGTATTACTTCTCTCTTATTTTTGGCCTAGGCTAAGTTTTGCTCTACATTAAGTATTTTGGAATGACAAATGCTTGCTTTACAGTATAGCATCTAAACTGTAGTAGGTTTTGTTATGATTACAGTGTTGTCATGGTAATATAATTTTTGCAAATGAAAAGCCAGGGTTCACATCTGTAGTTCTTACAAATCCTGGAAGTCCTGAGACAGGTCAGTTAGTCATGCATTTT